AAAAACTAAAGATGGCAGAGAAAGAGAAGAGAAAGACAGAGGAGTAGGGGTAGAGAAACAGGGAGGGCAGGAGGGAGAGAGAGACACACTGATGCAGAAAGGAATCAAGAGAGTGTATACACAAAGGGGTTTCACTTTGCATTTGAAACTCTGTATTCCCTTTTCTCCCTCTTCTATGCAGAGTAATACATTTAATCAAGAAAATACTGAAACTAAGGGCTGGAGAGATAGACCAATGGTTAAGAGCCCTTGCTGCTCTTGCATAGGACCTAGGTTTTTTTATTATTATTATTTTTCTGGAATCCACATCAGGCGGCTCACAATCACTTATAACTCCAGCTCTAGGGAATCCAACTTCTGACCTCCATGGGCATCTGTACACATAAGTGGCATACATATGCACATATAATGTTTTTAATCCAAATATTGAAGCCAACATGAAAAAAGGGAAGTAGAGTTGGGCAAGTAGAGAGACATGAGGAAAAGAGGCAGGGGTCAGCAGAGCGGTAAGAGGACAAGAAAAGAGGTGGGGCAGAGGGGAGGGAAAGTGGGAGAGGGTCAGGAAGAGATAGGTGGAGGTAGAGCAGTTTTCAAGAAAAGGGTGAGATTACAAAAGAAGGGGAGATAAAGTGCAAGGAAACCTAAGTGATTTGCTTAAAGCCCAGGTGGTCTGTAGGTTTTATTGAGGAGAGCCTAATGGGCTCCTGAACTCAGTGTGTTAGCTGGAATTGTGAGATCAGAAATGAAAATGGGGTGCTAGGGGGTAGAGGGCATGGCAAGACAACAGAACATGCCTCCTTCTTGAAGATGGAATCGAAGCCGGCAATCTTGTTGCCTTTGGTGTCGATAAGGGAGCCCTGTGGCTCACAGGTAATGACATCTCGGTTCTGCTTGGGTAGTGGCAACAGTTGATGAACCTTTTCCAGACTGTCAGACTGGCGCTCCCCCAAGTCCTTCTGCAGGAACAAGAAGATAGGCCATGAGTTCAAAGATACAGAACAAGAGAAGTAGGAAGTCTCAAGGGTAGCAGAGAACATAGTATGTATAAAGACACTAAGAGCTGGGCATGGTGGTGCACAGCTATAATCCCAGCACTTGGGAGGCTGAGGCAAGAGTATTTTCAGTTTGAGGGCCAGCCTCGGCTATATAAAGAGCCACCCATCTCAAAAACAACAACAACAACAAAAAAAAAAACAAAGATAATCTCAGCACTCATGAGGCTGAGGCAGGAGGATTGCTATGGGTTCAAGTGCAGTATGGGCTATGTAGTGACATATCCCTTACAGGACAACCTGTGTTACCAAATGAGATCCTGTCTCAAACCAAACAAACAAAGAGTAAATTTTAAAAAAGGCATTTAGTAAATCTGCATTGCACAGACAAAAAAGAACAGACAGGAAATGGGGAGGAAGAGGGCTCAGACCAAAACCAGTCATCTCACTCCCCACTCCCAGCTCCCAGGCCACACAGTAAACACAGGCAGAGTTGAGTCTCCAGCACCCCAATCTTGTTCTTGACTCCCTTGCTCACCTGAAGCTTCTTCACCAAGTTCATATATGCACGTTTGTTTTCCTCCATGCTGCCCTGAGAGATACTAGACATGTCTGCAGCCAATGTTCCATTGATAAGCACACTCAGCATGTCCAACACAGTTGTGAAAAGCTCACTGTGGCAGGTATGGAGAAAACCAGAGAAGCAAGAGGTTAAGAAAAAACAGGCAGGAAGGGATACTCATGATGTTATCCTAAGGGGTGTGAGACTGTGTGGGGAACTCAGGGCATGGAGTCACTGGTTCCTGCAGCTGTTATGTGGTAGGGACTCCAGGAAAATGGCCTGCAGGGTTGAGAATGCTCACTTGTTAGACTGCATGTCCACAGTGCCGCTGATAATGATCTCCAGGAGAAGCTGGGCCCACTCTGTAGTCTGCTGGGTACTACGCTGCACTGTGTCAAACATGCCTCCCACCTGCCAGAACCACAAATCAGTTAGATGGTGCAAGGTGATAAGTGTTTGAGAAAAGCTTAGGTTCGAACCTGGTTGGGTGGGAGCAGAGACCCCTGAGGCCATGTCTCATCATTTGTACTTAGGATTTACTATTCAGTCTTGGGTCAGTGGCTGAATTTGATATATCAGGATCTGTTTCATTACTTATAAAGAGATGGGACTTGTACTAAACAAATTCCATAATTCCATTCACCATTCTAAAATAGGTTTCTAGTATTTCTAGGGCTCAGCCAGAATGTCCAATACTGAAGCAGCGTGCCTGAAGCACACAGGGTATTCAGTCTATTGGATCCTGGCTACAGGGGTTCAGTTCCTCTAACCATTTTAAAAGGTCCCGTATCCCTTGAGAAAGCAGGGTTAATATTGGAAGACCTCAAAGAACCTAGGGCCTCCATTCTCAATCCTGTCTTCCCCAACCTGGGGCTTCCTAACTGTATTTCCAGGCCCATCCCTTCTTCCTTCATGCCAGATTCCCCCTTACCAGGTTGAGCCGCAGTTTGAGTGCCTCATGCATTAGTTGCTTTGGTTTGCAATCATCTAAGTACTGGTTTTCTCGCCAATTGATCACAATCTAGGATAGAAACAAGTTTAACACGTGCTCAGGGATCTTCTCCTTTCTAGTCCAAGTCATCAAATGTTTTTATCAGAAAATAATGAAGGGTCCAAGCATGTAGTGGCCTCTTAGGTACATCCTTCCCCACCCTGAGGCCATCTCCATGGCCCAGACACCCATACCTGGTGCACCTGGCTGTGGAGAGAGGCGAGGAGTCCCTCGCGTTGCTCATCCTGCCCTTTCAGACATGTCAGCACCAGTGATAAGAAAGGCTGCTGGCTCAACAGGGACATGCTAAAGCCATGAGGAGGGGGAGGGCAGGTAGAGGAGACTTCAGGTCAAGCAACTTCCAACTTTCTTGTCCCAGATTCTACTCTTAAAACATTTTTTTTACATTTCATTTCTGTTTTCTATGTATTTGTTTTCTTTTGTGTGCAATCACGTGTGCATGCCATGCTGCACATTTGGAGGCCAGAGGAAAAACGTGCAGGAATTGGTTCTCATCTTCTACCATATGGTCCCTAGGTTGGATCAAACCCAAGGCTGGCAGCAAGCATTTTTTTTTTTTTTTACCCGTGGAAACACCTTGCTGAACCCTAGATTCTACCCCTAAGATGTGACTTCCTGCTTAGCCATGATATTCAGCTCTTGACTTGCCACTTTCTTTTCTATTCTTTCCTTCCTTCCTTTCTTTTTTTGGTTTTTTGGGACAGAGTTTCTCTGTATAACAGTTCTGGCTGTCCTCGAAGTCATTTTGTAGAGGAGGCTGGCCTCAAACTCAGATCTGCCTGCTTCTGCCTCCCAAGTGCTGGGATTAAAAACTTGTACTACCACATCCCACCCAACTGCTACTTTCTCATGAGGACTATTCTCTACCCTGAGTCCCAAAGTTTATTCTTCCCTGGGCCTGCCGCCTCCTCTCCTTTCTACTCTTCAGTCCTCACCCACAGAGCCCCTTTACCTCTTCTGTTTTTGTCGATCTCGTTCTTTTCGGGAAGAGGAACCCAGGTGCTGACCCTTCTCCAATTCCTCCCCAGCAGCTTTCAATACGTGGCCCTGGACTGAGGTGGGCAGTTTGGCAATGAGAGGAGCTACCAGCCATACGCCAGAACGTTCTAGAGAGCTAGAAGACAGAGGACATGGGCTTCAGAGGAGCCAGGTAAGCAAGGTTGAACAATCTATCATTTCTTTTCCCTGTGCATGTCCAGTATCACCATTAGGAAAAGCTCAGGAGAGACAAATCCTAACATGTTTCTATGCACCTGAGCACAGGTTTAGTCTTGCTGCTGCTGGGCATGTTGCTTGCTGTACTTCCAGAAGATGACCCTGTCTCTGCTGACTGTTGGAAAACCTCGATTGTGGCCTTGGCGATGTTCTCCAAGAGGGAGTTCATCTCCTGGGGAGGATAAAAAGTGCAAAAGTGCTAACTAAGTAGCTAGTGGTGAGGGGAACATGACAGGAGATGAGGCTGAAGGAGAGCATCGTGGCAGTCAACATTAGGGACATAACATATAGGGTGCTGCGCCTTCTTGTACCTCCACAGTCTTACAGTTCCCCACCGTCTTCTCCTTTGCAGACCTCCTTACATCTGTGGCCACAGAAACAGGTTCTGTTCCTAGCCCAGCCTTACTGTTTCCACAGCTGAAAGCCCCAACACTCTCAACCCATTTCCCTTATCAACAGCTCCATGCGCCTGCCATTCTCACCTCCTCTCTTATCTCCTTCAGCCAGGAGCTTGAGGGCAAGACCTCAGTTTTTCTAAGATGGCTGATATCCCTGACAAGGGGAACTGGAAGTGGGCCTGGGAAAGGGAGGGCCTGGGAAAGGGAGGGCCTGGGAACATTACTTACATTGGTGGGGGTCTGCTTGATCATCAGCTGTAGCTCCAAGGAGGACTGGCGCATGGTCCACTGGTCCAAGTTCTGGCGGTTAAAAACCCCATTCCCAAACTGGTCATAACTGTACCACTCTTAGCTACCTACTGTTTCATGGCTAATTCCTAATCGTCCAAAACAGATTCCTAGAAGTTGGGAAGGGACCTCTATGTCCCTATCTTTTGGAAAGACTACATTTAAATAATAATACAAAATCACTGAAAACTAGCGTATTTTACGTATTGTTAAAAAAAAATGATTCCATAGCCCCCTAGATTCCTGTCCTGGGGCCTCACAAAGTTGTGCTCCATGCCTAACCTTTAAATCCCTAATGTTAAGGTTGAAATCTGACTCTGCTGTTTTCCATCAGCTGCTCAAAGTCCCCCACAGGGCCTTTACAGGACGCTCTCTCACAGTCCTGTAGAGACTGGAAGCTACTGTTAGGTAATCTCCCTCTCGAATTAGCTCCTCCAGGCTAAAGAGACCTCATTCCTTTAGTTCTTCTTCCATGGCCTTATTTATTCACCCCCGAGTCAGCCATATGTCTGAAGTATGACAATGTGAAAGGGCACAGGCACACCTGAGTTCTCATACTGGCCCTAAACTTCTTAGCTCATGAGGCCTTGGACAAGGTAATTAACCTCACAAGCCTCAATTTCTTCGCTGGCCAAATAAGGATATTCCTATTCACTTCACAAGGTCATAAAGAGCAAATGAAAAAATGAATGCATGTTGCCATGCATATAGTACCTGTGCATGAAATACAATTCCAACCATAGTAGCTATTACCATTCACTCCCTGAATCACAACCAAAGTGCCATATATGCAAAGCAGAATCCAGGCCTCCAAGAGGCAATTCTTCCCACCGATGAGCTATACTCACTGCAAACAGTTGTGCAGTTATCTAATAGCCTAACTCTCGAGTCCAGACCAGACCACTAGATGTGCTTCTAAGTCCAAGCTGGAGCTGTTTTCCTTGCTACCATTCTCCTACATGCTTATTCATGCTTAACGAACAGTTCCCGCTGTTTCCAGGTAGGGTCCTGCTGCTTCTCCCCGCCACCCAGCACCTTGGCCTACCTTGAGAATACGCTTAATGCGCTGCCGCTGGGGGTTTTCTCCATCTTCGTTGTCCAGCAGTCGATGTGGGTAGCAGATGAGCTGCATGAGGCGCTGAGCCTGGGCACTACTCAACACTGGGTCTTGTAGATCATTGCTATCCTCACACAATGACTTAAGGCAACGTTCTCCTACCCATTCCTAAGGAGACTGATAATCAGACTACAGGCAACTCCGGGAAATTGTGCCAGGGGCAGGCAAAGAAACCAATGTATAGCAGGGAGGTAGTGTGGTCATGGGCTAGAAACAAGACTATCTTACACAGAAGCATTTAGGTGGTGTGGGGGGAAGGTGAGACTGACCTGTTGGCAGATGCTTCGCAGCACGTACTTGGCATAGACATCCAGACTTGCTGTCTCCACAGAGATGTTGCGGCCACCCTGCCTCCGACCACCACTACCACCTCCTCCCTCCTCTTCTGGAAGTTCTTCTGTTCCTCCCGTCACAGTGAAGCCTGAACCTTTCAGCTCCGCATCCCCTGTGGTTCATGGGTGGGAGATAGGGAGGGCAGAGTGCAATCAGAACACTGTGTGGAAACCTTCCCTGGCCCACAGAGGCAGAAATTCCCCAAATGCTGCCTTATGAAACAGAAATATACAGAAATATATTTCCCTCCCCCTTTCTCCAAAGGTCACAGAGACCACCTTTGGGAGGGAGAAAGACTGTCCCTGTAGTTTTGCTGGCACTCCACCCTATATACACTTCTGGCATGTCTCTCTTCCTGCCGCCTTGCATACCGAGTACAAACACAGCCTTGAGAACAGCAAACACAGCTCCATCCACGATGCGGTTCTGGGAGGCAGCCAGCAGGTGGCGGTCACAGGAGGACCGGATTCCAACGGTAGGTTTGTCTACAAGGGAGCCGAAGTCAGGGGAAGCAAAAGTAAAAGCAGTGGGGTTGGGAGAGCCACAGTTTCTATAGCTGCCTGGCTTCAATCAGAGTCACTTACTTCCATCAGACTGGCAAGGATTAAGTTGTGGTGTCTTGAACAGGTGGAGGAGGATGCGGCAAGTGAGCCGGGCCCCTGGCTCAGAATCCTGCTCACTACAAGCTAAAATGAAGACAGAGCACATCTGAAAAGGACGAAGCCAAACTCTATGAATGTGTATGTGTGTTGGGAGGGGGAATAAGGTGAAACACAAGTGAGGTGAAAGGACAAGAAACAAGATAATCCTGACGGAGAAGCGGAGCAATGATACACAGCTGAAGGGTCAAAACCCACAAAGGTCCATAGACTGGGCTGAAGCTCATGCTCAAGCATGAGGGAGGTATTGGGTTCCATCCCCAGACATACACATACAGTGCAGAGGTGTTATCAGGGCTGCCATTTCAAAATAGGCCCTCTGAGCCTTGCAGCCTGGTGTGCCACAAAGCACTGGCCTGGGAACTGTGGCAGGGTGTTCCATAATCAAGAGGATGGTTATGGAGCATGAATCAGCACTTGATGGAGACCTGATATTCTAGGGTTATGAACTGGGACTTTACCAGCATTGAGGAGTGAAGGGATAGCAGCACAGCGAATCAGGTCTTCCAGGAGCAAACACTGCCGGGCAATGAGGATGGCAACAAAAGTAGCCAGGGAATCATGAAAGGACAAGTCACTTACCTGAAAAACAAAATCAGTGGGGCGGGAGGAGCCCTAGCCAGTGTGCCAGGCCTCCACTCCCAACTCTGACCCGCTATGGTCTTGAATATGGCCAGATCCCTACCATATAGGTAACTGTCTCATTCTCCAGCAAGACCCCACCCAAAAGCTTACGTCTACATTGCACAGGAGATCGTTGAAACCACAAGTGCCATTGTTAGAGGAGCAGCACAAGGCCTTAAGTACTCCTAACCACTCTGCACTCAGTGACTTGCAATAGCCGGTCAGCTCCGCACACAGGATTGCAATGTCGTTTACCCTAGGGAAAAGTACAAAAGCCCTCAGGAAAAGTCTTGGTCTACAAAACCTCAGACTCACAACTTTCTGTCTCTGCCCTAGTAACAATGGAAGGTCTAGTATCTCTCAGGTAAGCCACTCCTCCCAGTATCAGATGGAGGCCTGATGGCCATTCCTCAACTCAGTATGCCCCATACCTATCAGGATCGTGATGCCCCACACAGACGTGCATAAGAGCATTGCAGACAAAGCTGTAGCGATTGGCAGGGTTCTCGCTAAGACTCTTGCCTAGCCCCGTGTAGGTGAAAGTGTGAGCAGCAGGGTTCTCCAGAGTGTCAATCATGAACTCCGGTGCCCAGCGCATATTGGATTCTGATGGCTCCACATTGCAGTAGATGGTGTTCTTCACTTTTGAGCAAAAGTCACTGCAGGGGTAGGGAAAGGAAACAGCAATACTGAAGGAGGTCTGGTAGGGTACAGGGATGGGCAGGAAAGGGGAGAAAAGAAAAAAGAAAAGGAGTGAAGGATGGAGGACCTTGGGAGAAGAAAAAGGGAGCTGGGCCACAGCAGACATGGCAGGAAGGGAACCACATGTGATTAAGAAAGAGTGGCCTGTGAAGGCAAGGAGGAAGAAGGTTCACTTTCAGCAATGAAGTAACAAGTGAAGGACATAGTCCTTAAGCGATCCCGCACAGACAGCTGGGCGCTGAGGTGTGCGGTAATGGGAAGGAGGTAGGACTAGCCCCATTCTCTTACCCCTTCACCGCTCTTACCTGAAGAGCTCCCCAAATTTGCTCTTTAAATGGCTACAGGAGGTATACAGATCATAGAGATAAGCAAGGATACAGCGCTCTGCAGAGGAGCCATCTGAACGGTTCATCCCATGTTTCACTACACCACAGAGCCTGTCACAGAGGCAGGGTAGGGAGGATCAACAGGGGTATACATGGCCCAGGGCACAAAAGCCCTGGAAATAAATTCAAGTGTCTTGGTACAGCTATTCCTACCCATACCTTAGCAGCAGACTCTGCCCCACTGTGTGGACCCATGTATAACGATCCTTCCTAGGCCATTAACAACTGGCATTTACCAGAACCCTGCTTACCCCTCAAACACTTGTGCCATCTGGTCCTGGTTGAGGATGAGGCAGGCATGATAGTGTCGCAGGACAGCCACGATACATAAGCATAGGCTGGTTGTGTAGCTGCCCACCAGATCAGAAGATTTGAGAAGGAGCTCGGCCTCAACCACGCTCAGCTCATTCAGCAACTATCAGAGACATGGAGGTGAAACATAAGAGGCCCCTTTCATTGGCCATAACCCCACTTTCTGGAAGGAACTTGACATGGCCAAGCCTGAGCTCCTTCCTGCTGCAGCCACTTCAGCACAGAAGGGTCAGGTTACCATGTACCAGTGTCGCACTCTACTAGCAGTATCTCTAAGCAGTCTCCAGGACAGCATGCTATAAACTCCACAGGGGGAGGATGGTCTGTACCCAAAGCTCTAATCTGTCTCTTGGGCCTCCCCAGGGAGCACTTAGGCTTTTATTCCAGCAGTCTTAGATCATGTTCCACTCCCACTGTGCTAGTCTTTCAGTAAACCTCTATTCCAGCAGTCTTAGATCATGTTCCACTCCCACTGTGCTAGTCTTTCAGCCATCCAAATAGCCTAGGAAACTGGCTGGAGCCTCTACTCCTCTTCATGACCCTATAGAGCATGAATTCCTTCTTCCGCCCTTATCTGGCCCAACTTCCCCACCTGAATGGCAAAGTCGATGAGGCCACTGATGCTCAGTGAATATTCCATGAGGTCGAAGATGAACTGCACATGCTGCACCAGAGGCAAGTGGTATGACATGCCAAGGGCAAAGCTCGTGATCTGCTCCAGAACATTCCGGGAGACCTGATAAGGGCAGTAGGAGTGAGACAGGAATGGAAGGAAAGAAGACCTAGGGAAGCAGGAAAGGGTGATGGTGGAAGGGGATGAGACCAGCAGGCTTAGCCTGTTTAGTAGGGGGGGGGAAGATAAAACAAAAAGGAAAAGAGGAAAAGAGGCCAGAGTGGGAAGGGGGCTGGCTTAGGCCCACACCTGAGCCGTGACCTGGTGTTGGTCATAATGAGAAAGGTGCTGGAACTTAGCAAAAATATCTTCAGCAGTGGGGAAGGCTTCCGGCCGGTTGCGGCGTCGCTTCTGCCCATCTTCCCCACCTGAGCGGACAGTTGAAAGCAATGAGTCAGGACAATGAAAGAAAACCAGTTGACTAGGGGCTGGGGTAGGGGTGTGGCGAACGGACTATGGTAGGGAGGGAGGAGGGGAAAAGGGAAGGAGGGAAGGAGAAGAGAAGGGAAGGGTGGTCAAGGAAGGGCTTGGGTAGGGATAAACGGGACAATGAAGCACAGGTTTAAAGGGCCACAGACTATGTGGACCTCTGAGGAATGTGTACAGGGAGGCGCTAGGTTAAGGGGGTAGGGGGAGGGCAGTAAGGGGCTTACTGTGAGGTACCTAAGAATGTCAGGTCTCCAGGATTCAGAGGCACAATAGGAGCAAGCTGGTCTGTAGAGGGGGGGAATGAGGGGGAAGTTTCAAAAGGACTAGAGCTCTCAGGAGACTCCAAGAGACAGGACATTGGGACATGACTGGGGAGTGCCCTACACTGGGCATGGGAAGACTGACTAGGGCATTCTTTGGGGAGACTTCTGTTTAAGGAGACTCAAACCCACCAGTTTCTGCTGTTCCCTTGCGGTTCAGAACCTTCAGGATATCCTTGGTAATCTTCTTGATGGCATGGCGGGCATCATCTCGCTGCTTCCCCACCCCAAACAGTACGACCAACCGCTGGTTGCACTCATGGCTGCATGACTCCTCCTGCATCCCGGCAGCACCATCAGATTCCATCATGGGTCTCCTGCCCTCCTCTTAAGAGCATGCTTTGTATCTCTCAAAGCTCCCACGTTCAAGCCCCTTCTCAAACACACCCACACCCTGGGGAACTGGTCTAGCCCCTCAGCAAACTCCTTGGATGGAAATCTGGGCTCAAAGCAGGCTATCACAAATGTTGGACAACAGTACCTGTGGGATTGGAAAGTGTGTGGCATACTGCACATGTCGTGGCTGGTCATAAAGAACCCCAAGTGTCCCCTCCATCTTCTCTTTGGGTGGGGGTTTCACTTCCTTTTCGACATCTGGTTTCTCAGGGGATGGGCTTCCCTTCCCCTCACAAGGCATAGTAGGGGAGAACAACTAAGAGGGTGAAAGGGCAGAACATTCAGGAGAAGCAAAAGGAGGCATAAAGAAATTCCAAAAGGAGGCATAAGGGGAGAACCAAGGTGCTGGATTCTTCCATGCTTGGGATCTTACTGAGAAATCGGGCTTCTCCATGTCTTCAAAAAGCACACTGGAACTAGGGTCTATGTCCATAGATTCAGAGAGCCCTGGATCCTGCAGGCACACAACAAATCAAGAGCTGCCTTGGTCCTGGAAGTGCTTCCTCACTGTCCAGGAAAGTTCATTAAGAACTGGATCAAGGCCAGGCGTTGGTGGCGCACACCTTTAATCCCAGCACTCGGGAGGCAGAGACAGGCAGATCTCTGTGAGTTGGAGGCCAGCCTGGTCTCCAGAGCGAGTGCCAGGATAGGCTCCAAAGCTACACAGAGAAACCCTGTCTCGAAAAACCAAAAAAAAAAAAAAACAACTGGATCAAGGGGGCATGAGGAAAGCCCAAGTTATGGATTCAAACCTTGTTCATTTACTTAACCAGTAGGCAAAGCCTCAGTTTCCATCACCTTTAAATGGAAAGCAGGAGAAGTACCTCACAAGCCTTTTCTGAAGATTAAGTGAAAAACTGACATGAGACTATTCTATAAATCATGAAGTTCTGAGAAAATACCATTATTCTTGGGTACAAGAGATGCTCAGAGGCTTCTAGAAGCTGTAAAAATGGGAACGTCAAAAGTAATAATTAAGAGCAATGAAAAGGACACACACCTCTAGCTTGCTACTGCTGCTGCCTTCAGTCTCCTTGCGCTCTGGGTCATCCGCAGGATCATCAAAGGGAGAGGGAGGCCGAGGACCAGGGGCTCCAAAAGCAAGATCTCCCCGAGAGATGAGAGTGCAGGTGTACATGTTGTGCGAGAAAACATCGTGTCGGATCAGTTCACAGAACAGCAGTACTAGATTAAAGAATTCCACTCGTTCACTCTCACTGCGGGGATCAGCTAGAAAGAGGGAATGAGGAGAGATAAGTTAGCAGAACACAAGACGGACAAAAGAGATAGGGACACATCTCAGTAATGGCGCTCTTAGACCAGGCAGAGACAGACACCCCTGAGGCAATAACAGGAAGAACAACAAAAGAAAACCCTGATAACGGGTGGTTGGTAGGTCTGGGAAAATGCCTCAGCAATTAAGAACATTCCCTGGCTGCTCTTCCAGAGGGCTGTTTTTCCAGAGGGTTTGATTCCTAGCACCCACATGGCAGCTCACAATTGTCTATAAACTCCAGTTCCAGGGCATCCGAAGCCCTCCACCAGCCTCTGCAAGTACCAGACATGCACATGGGGCACAAACATAAATGTAGGAAAAATTCACATACACAAATATTTTAAAAAGGATGGTTGGCTGCACCGCTTAATGCTGTCCACCACCACCGTGGAATGAACAAAGTATCTTTGCTCCTGTGTATATACTGGAAATGCTTTGCTCAAATGTTCTTGTGTTTATTCTTTGCTTTTCTCTATTCTATTAAAATTGTGAGACCATCAAGAACTACGCCTAAAAGTAATTCTGCACAGAACCCAAGACAGAAATGTAGACCAGAAGGGCCTTCTTTCCTTTCTTTTTTTTCTTTCTTTCTTTCTCTTTCTCACTTTCTTCTTTCTTTCCCTCGTTCTTTTTCTTTCTTTCCCCTCCTCTTTCGGCTCTTTCTTTCTTTTCTTTTTTTTCTTCCTGATTTTTTTTTTTGAGACAAGGTTTCTTTGTGTAGCCTTGGCTGTTCTGGAACTAGTTCTGTACAGAAGGCTGGCCTCAAACTCAAGATCCGCCTGCCTCTGTCACCTGAGGGGTTGAAGGTGTGCACCACTGTCCAGCTTTTGTTTTGGTCTATTTTTCAGACAGGTTTTCTCTGTGTAGCCCTGACTGTCCTGAAACTTGCTCTGTAGATCAGGCTGGCCTTGAACTCAGAAATCCACCTGCCTCTGCCTCTTCTGAGATTCAAGGTGGTGTCACCACCACCCAGAGGCCAGAAGGTCCTTCTTTATGTTTTCTGATGACATGATTTATAATTGAATGTAGGCAAAGGAACTGGAAGATTATAGGTGTCCATACTCAGCATGGGAGCCTGTGTATCCAGAAACTGCAGGAGGACATCCTGGAAAATGGGTGCACTAGGAGCAGAAAGCGAACCAGAGGCGACTGAGCCCTTCTCATCAGCTGCTTCGGATTCTCCACAACGCTGCAAGACGAGAGAACAAACTGAGCGGTGACTTCTCCCTGTTTCTTCACTCTTCAATATGTAACCTTCGAAGTGTCACCTGTCTTCCATCCCACACTTTTCATTTCCTTTGCCACTTCCCAACTACAGCCTTGGTCTCTTCTCTAGCCAATTAATCCATCAGCTCTTTTCCATTTGTGCCTATGTCCTTAACAATCCCTATAAGTTCTCTACCACTTTTCTTTTCTTTCTTTGTTTGGTTTTGTATATTTTGTTTATTTGATTTTGTGAGGCAAGGTCTCCCTAGGCAGCTCTGGCTGGTCTGGAAGTCACTATGTAGACCAGGTTAGTCTCAAACTCGTAGAGATCAGCCTGCCTTTGCCTCCTAAGTGAGTGCTTGGATTAAAGTCATGCACCACAATGCCCAGCATTTTTGTAAAACTTTTTTTTGAGACAGAATCTTTCTATGTGGCCCTAGCTGTTCTAGAATGCGAAAGGTAGACCAGGCTGGCCTTGCACTCAGAGATCTGAGGTACTGGGATTAATTTAGGTGGACAAGTATGGCATCAGAGAGCGTTTGGAGAAATTGTCAAAATACATTACAACTGTGTATGAAATACTGAAGGTTTGTTGGATTTTATCTAAGGCTTCGAAAGGTAGACCAGGCTGGCCTTGCACTCAGAGATCTGAGGTACTGGGATTAAAGGTATATACTACCACGCTTGGCTTTTTTTTTTTAACTTTTGAGACAGTCTCTCTAGCTAGTCCTGGTTGATTTGTAACCATGATCTTCCTGTATATGCCTTTCAAGTGCTGGAATTTCAGGTACGTGCCAAGACAAGAGCTCTCTAGGGTTTCTTTCCAATCCCTCGGGTCCAGTCCCATTCCCACTACTACCTCAATATGTCCAAACCCAGTTAGAGGCTTTCCATTGGGCAACTCACTCCCTTTTCTTAGCCTCTAACCTCAGCCTCAATCTCGGCTTGTCTCTTCTCCAGAAGCTTGGCTACTACCATAGCACGATGCCGACCAGAACGCTTGCAGCTAACAGCCCATTCACATAATAATGATACCACAGCATCATCATCTGAGGAAATCTGTAACCAAAGGATTTGACAAGGATAAGTAAGGGAAGGCTAGGAACAAAAGAAACGAGTTCCTTTTTCAAGTATAGGCCCCACCTAAAAATATCATAGCCCCAGGAACCAGGAAAATCATCACTTCAGGAATCTGCTGCTTTCAATGAGTTACTAACCTTACCCTTATACAGACCGCTTCTCCTGTAATGTTTTTGCTCTTTCTGTTTTTCTTCTTACTCACCTCATGACCATCCTTACTAGGCCCCAATCCAAAGATTCGATTACAAAGGGAGTCAAGGGAATTACTAAAGTCAGAGCGCTCAAAACTATGGCTGTCCAGCACTTCTAAAGTATGGAGCACCCGTCCAATGGTGAAACCTGAGGACAAACAGTATTAACTAGAATTAACTAGAGAGTCAATGCATTCAGATTCTCAGATATCTATGAATCCATCACCCATCCTTTCTTAGTTCCCTCCCTCTGACACCTACCCGCAGTAGCTTCCTGGCACTTATCAAAAGACCAGCGAACCTCAACTGCTTGTCCTCGCTCCTTGATCTGCTGTTCAATCTCTCGCAATTTTGCTCGGACCTGCAATATTTTTTAAAAAGCTTTAAGGAAACACCCAAATAAATGAAAAGCTAAAAGAAGAGTAGCCGAAAGCTGGGCGTGGTAGTATATGCCTGCCTGTAATCTAGCAGTTGGGAGGCAGAGGCAGAAGGATCACTATTAAGTTTGAGAACTGCCTGGTCTACACAGCAACTTTCGGGTCAGTGAAGGCTACTTAGCAAGATTCTGTCTCAAAAAACAAACAAAAGCAGAAAACAGTAGCAGACTCCAAGTCACTATTTCTAGAAAAAGAATCTAGCATTACATCTCAACTTCAAAGTACCAGGGTAGTATTTAAGCTTACCTGCTGAGTGAAGGCACTGTTACCCTCTGGCATGGGCAAATTGGAAGGAGCAATGGGCAGGTGGTCAAGTGGTGAACCAGTTTTAATTCGGCTATCAGTCAATGAGTAGTGCCAAACTAGGGCACTAGGACAACACAGGAGGATAGTCTGCCAGACAAATAGATGAATCAAACCCAATTATCATGGCTACCTTTCTAGAATCCCCCACTTAAGGCCCACCTCCTTTAGGTTTTGCATCTGATTTAGGTTTACTATGACTGAGTCCTTGGGGCAAGTATCATTCTTGATCCGCCTCTACCTCACCTTCTTTTCTTATCATTTTTATAGTATTTTCAGACAAGGTTTCAGCTGGCTATATAGCTTAAGCTGACTTTGAACTCACAGTCCTCCTGCATCTTCTTTCCAAGTTCTAGGACTACACGCATACACTACCATACCCAGATTCTCAGGCACTTTCCTAAGAAGCTTTGGGCCTAATACTTAAGTCTTGGGAGAGGATGTCCGAAACTTCTGAATGGGAGCATCCTATTACAGAGAAACACAATTCTTAAATGGGTGCTCAGTGCCTGCTCCCACCTCTGAGTTGGACTCACCCCATTCTCCAGGATGAGCAGTCAGTTCTTTACACTTTCTTGGGCCCTCTAGTACCTACCTGAAGGATACAGCTGAGGCCAAAAACCAGGGGCCGGTGCTGAGGGCACATAAGCAGGTCACTAAAGGGAGTCGAGGGTGTACTGCTAGTTGGGGGTTGAGGTGCAGGGGTAGTGGGCAGAGAGCTTGTTGACTGAGCAGATATAACATGAGATGAGTGGCTGCTCACGCCATCCAGCTGCAGAGCCAGTCTCCGGGTGCAGAAGTAGGCGAGGCGGCGGGACAGATAGGCAGACTGAACAAATTCCCCTGAGTACTGTGAAGACATGACCAACAGAGCCCCTAGTTTTCTCCAAGAGACACCGCTCTGAGGTCTAATTATTCCTCGAATCCCTTCAAACATTCCCTCCCTAGGTCTTGATCTTACTCGAAGCAGTAGAGGAAGCAGCAATTTAAGCAATTCATCCTCTCCAGGGCGTATTTTCTCAAAACATTCAAGCACCCAAGTCAGGAATTCATGTCTGTCCAGCATTCCATCCTATGGATAGCAGGGAACTATTAGAGGTAAGGCAGATAAAGTAAATGGAAGGATGAAGAGAGCCACAACAGGGGCAAGGTAACAGACAAATTCCATTCTATACCAACAGCACAGGATAAGGTGTAATTGAATGCCATGTATAACATGCTCTTGCTCCTACCTGAAACATGAACATGGCGAGCTTCTCATTGTAGTCCCACTGCCTGATTGCCACCTCTATATCATGGGGCAAGGGTCCTATAGTAGAACCACAGCCTCCACTTCCTGGAGGTCCTGGCCGATAATATTCAGCCATCTTCTGCAGCTGTTCCCATAAGTACTTTGTGATGATTTGGGTCCATTCTAAAGAAAATATGGAAAGGGAACTATTTGATACTATTCTTTTGTTTTGTTTTTCCAGACAGGGTTTCTGTGTATTGTTTTGGAACCTGTCTTGGAACTCACTTTGTAGACCAGGCTGGCCTTGAACTCACAGAGATCTGCCTGCCGAGTACTGGGATTAAAGGCGTGCACCACCACCTCCCAGCCTATTTGATAGGCTTCTTAGGCTTCGAATACTTCATATCCCCTACCTCCTCCCACAATCACCACACTTCTGAGCTCTATTCATCCTCTTAGCCTGTAGACAAATGCCACCTCCTTAAAGCAAGTAATCATTATGTTCACTGAAGTCTCAAAGAATCTTCTGTCTACTCTTTTGGCATTTAGCGATTTTTATATTTAATTAGGATACATATGCCTTCGAATCTCCACTAAGATCCAAAGAACAGAGATTATAGCCGGTCACCTTTACAGCCCAGTACCTGACCATAGCAGATAACCAAATTACTCCATGCTTACCAATTGAATGAGTGCAAGATTCATGCAGAAGCAAGGAATAGAGACTGGGAAGAAGAATTACTCTAAGGCTCTATCACTCCTTGAAGCCATCAGTGGTATACCAGGTGTACAAATTACCTACCAGTGAAGGGGTCAGCAGTATTTTTCTTCTTAACCTTAGTCTCAGACATTGCTGCATAGTAAGCACAGGTCATCTTAATGAGCCAAGCAGCCCGCATCACAGGCACTGTGTATTTGGCTAAGTACCCAAACACTTCTTCCTTCTTACTGAAAATGGGGACCTGGATGGGCGTCACAAACAGCAAGGTCTCTATTACCCCAGGAGCTGATACCATGTAGTTTAATATCAGAATATAGGTAGATACCTGACACATTCCCCACCTTGACTTTAAGAACAGGAAACAGTACCTCACCTTTTTGGCTAGGTGTGTGAGTGGTTTGGTGCCAGCCAGGTCAGTGAACCAGGTGTTAATAGCACTCTGAGATCGTGCAGTCACCAGCCAGAAGTTGTCCTTCTGGTTCATTAGGGACTTTCTGCGACCAGTGTCAGACAGAGTATTACAGCGTAACTTCTCAGCGATAATGCTGCTGAAGTTAGAACTGATCTAAAGGAAGAAAAGTATACCTCAGGGTGGTAAGAAGGGGCAGACAGGTGGTTCTGCTTTATGTGGAAAAATGCCAATGTTGTAGCACTGTGTTAACAACTGCACTGGATTATGAACTCTGCCGTTTAGGTTATCCTTTTAAGTTTTCCCAATCTAGAGCCTTTGCTCCTCAGATTCTTCCAGCCTTTTCCTTCAGCCTGGCAGGGTTATCTCACCTTGGCAGGATTGAAGTTGACGTTCTTGGCACTGCCATGTTCATCCCCAGAGACAGCAGGCTGGTTATTGAAACCTTGTTTTACATTCAAAGCCGTCAGTTCATCCTGAGGCAGAAAAACAGCATTTCAGCTCACCCCCATTCGCCTTGTAGAAGAGCTTGTAAGAAAGGGCAGAAAGGAAGATAACAAGGGAAAAAGGGAGGAGGAGGTTCCCGAGTAGAAGAGGTTGTTATTTAAAGCCCAGCCCTTATGTTCATTTGGACCCCACCCTCACCCCCACAGTCAATGAGATTCCCACATCCCCCAGAGCGACCTCAACATCACTCTTCCCTTGCCGGCACCTCACCAAGCTGGCCCTAACAACTTTCTGAGGTTTGTGTGTGAGCGCCCGCATGAGTGTGGAGGGGGGCACCTCTGGCGTGGCTCATGAACCATTGCCGGCTCATCAACCGGAACTGCCGACAGACCCTACTCTCCGGCACCAGTCCACTCTACTCTTCCCCCTTTTGGGACTTTTGCTCACACCTAATCGCCCCGCCCCCCCTTCCCTGAACTGTCAGTGTCTCTTCCTGTACTAATCACCTGCCCGGACCCCGCGGGAGCCGGGATTTGTGAACGCACCTCCTTCTGTTTGGGATCTTGAGGGTACACATCGGGAGGCCCCAACCGCAGCCGCTTCAGGGGTCGGTGCTCGTAGCTCAAGATCCCGAAAGCCGCCATCTTGCCCAGCCCGTACCGCCGGAGGCGCCTGCAGGGCCAGGCGAGGTGGGGAGGGAAGGGGCGGAGGACCGAGGACGGGAGGGAGCGCGGGGACAGCAAGCCGGGCGGCGGTTAAGAGGACTGAGGCCGAGAGAAGGGGGGTGGCGGAGGCGGGGCACGTTAGAAACTCTCGATTACTGCCGGAAACTGCCGAGGGACGCTGGGTACCGTCGGACAATACTGACTGCAGAGGGGGTGGGGCCTCGGCAGCGCGGGGCGGAGCCCTATGGTCCGGGAGCTTCGGGCCCTAGGAGGGAAAGTCAATTTCACCTACTAGAAATCCACCCGCATGGCTTTGCCAGAGGCGCAGATCCGAAATGGGGGAGGCTGCCGCGAATCTGAGCTCTAGCTGGAACTGGGTTCCCGTCGCCTCACTCAATTTTTGGCCTAAAATAAGTGCTCGGGATGTTTACTTTGGTTAATAACTGCATCTTTTACTAATCACTGAGTTTCTTAGTTCCTGCATCTGGATAATGGGTGTGTTAATGCTTCCTTTAAAAGACAGTTGTAAAGATAAGAGACTACTATTGTTTTAAAAAGCACCCGTGGTCTGAGATACGAAAAGATCCGGTCTCACAAAAAAGAAAGCACCCGTATAAATCTGAAATGCTTGTTTCCAATCTCTCCAGGCAGTTACAGCCCCTCTGCACCAAAACTCCCTAATCCTTTTGTTGTTGTTGTCGTTGTTTATTAACCCTTAGTCAGGCTTGGTGATGCTTACCTTTAGTCCCAGCAAAAGGGAACAGATCTCTTTGAGTCTGAAGCCACGCTGGTCTACTTAGTAACTTCCAGGACGGCCAAGTCAACATATTGCGACCCTGTCCCCTAAAAGACAAAACAAAACAAAAAAAAAACCAAAAGCCAGGTTGATGGTAAACACCTTTTTTTTTCCTTTTTCTTTTTCTTTTGTTTTTCGAGACAGGGTTTCTCCAACCCAAAAGCCAGGTTGATGGTAAACACCTTTTTTTTTTCCTTTTTCTTTTTCTTTTGTTTTTCGAGACAGGGTTTCTCCGTGTAGCTTTGGAGCCTATCCTGGCACTCAAGCCAGAGAGCAGCCTGCCCTCGAACTCACAGAGATCCACCTACCTCTGCCTCCCGAGTGCTGGGATTAAAGGTGTGCACCAACACCCGACGGTAAACACCTTTTTTGTTTTGTATTTTAAGACAAGGTTTCTCTGTGTATCAGTCCTGGCTGTCCTGGAATTCATTCTATAGACCAGGCTGGCCTTGAACTCACTGAGATCCCACCTGCCTCTGCCTCTGCCTCCTGAGTGTTGGGATTAAAGGCATGCATGTGCCATCACTACCTGACTGGTAAACATCTTTAATCTCCGCACTGAAGAGGCAGAAGCAGGAGAATCTCTATAAATTTGAGGCCAGCCTGGAATACACAGTGAGCTCCAGGACAGCCAAGACTACATAGAGAGACCCTGTCTCAAAAACCAAAAACTAAACCAACCAACCAACCAAGCAAACAAAAAAAATGCCAACAAAGAGACAGATGTGGTGAGGTAAGCAGGTCACCCAGAGCAATATGGTGACACCTTGTCTCAAAGGGTACAGGGAAAACCATCTAAGCTTAATATGTGTGTTGCACACCTGTAATCCCACAACTCAATAGACTGACAGGAGGATATCAAGTTTACTTCCAGCCCAAACTACATAGTGATACATACACACCCCTCCTTTTTGGGTCATCCCACTGTAGCCACAGGTGGCCTGGAACTCTCTATATAGCCCAAGCTGACCTAGAACTCACAGAAAGCCCAGAACCACCTGCCTCTTGAGGCTTCCAGGTCCTATCAAAAGGAAAGGGGAGGAGGAGGAGGAGGAAATGCTCATCTTCTTCACAGAACAGTATTTATACAAAGTATCAGATATTTTCTATCATGAAGCATTGCATCTATGTATCCACAAGTATCTATGAACTCCAAGTTAAAAAAGTTTGCTACAGCAGGGCCAGCCAGAAGGCAGACGATGCTTACCACTGTGTACAACCAGAATAGAATCCTCAGTTTTTGTATGATGGAAGCAGAGAACAGACTCCTACAAAATGTCCTCTGACCTCCATGTACACACATACAATAAGCAAGCAAATAAATACATGTAAAACAGAATCTTTGCCAGGCCTGGCGGCAAAGGGTATCAACCCCAGCACTCCTGAGGCAGAAGCAGGCAATCTCTGTGAGTTCCAGGACAGCCAGGGCTACACAATGAGACCCTGTCTCAATAAATAATTAATTTAAGAAAGAGGAGCTTCAGAGATGGCTGAAGGATTAAGAGCACTGCCTGCTGTTCCAAAGGGCAGAGGTCAATTCGTAGCACCCATATGATGGCTAACAATAGTCTGTAACTCCAGTTCCCAAGATTCTGATGCCTTCTTCTGGATTCTTCTGGTACAAGGTACAACATGTGGTCATAGACTTACATGCAGGCAAAACACTTAAACACATAAAATAAAAAGTAATAAATCTTGGACTGGACAAATGGCTCGGTGCTTAAGAGCTCTTGTTGCTCTTGCAGAGGACCTAAATTGGACTCCCAGCACCCACATGGTAGATCACAAGCATCCAGTTTCAGTTCCAGAGTAGCTGATGCCCTCTTCTCACTCCCATAGGTATCAGGCATACATGTAGTGCACACATGTACATGCAAGCAAACACTCATACACATAAAAGTAAAGTAAATAAATCTAAAAATTTTAAAAATTGATTTTGTTTGTTGAGACAGGGTTTCTTTGTATTGCCCTGGCTGTCCTGGAACTCACTCACTCTGTAGACCAGGCTGGCCTCGGACTCACAGAGATCTTCCTGAATACTAGGATTAAAGGCCTGTGCCACCACCACCCAGCAATTAATCTTTTTAAAATTAAAAATAAATTTTAGAGCTGGGTGGTGGTGGCACAGACCTTTAATCACAGCACTCTAGAGGCAGAGACAGGTGGATCACTGTAAATTCAAGGCCAGCCTGGTCTACAGAGCGAGTTCCAGGAAAGGCTCCAAAGCTACACAGAGAAACCCTGTCTCGAAAACCCGAAAATAAATAAAAAAAAATAAATTTTAAAAAGAACCTTTGCTGTAGTGAGAGGCACCTACTGTGTCACATGCTTTAGACAGTAACTCCTTTAATCCACAGTCCCCATGATTTAGGGACTGTTAGTGTCTCCATTTTCTGGACGAGGAAGCTGATTTATGTCCTTCTTTCCTCTTTCTTTCTTTCTTTCTTTCTTTCTTTCTCTCTCTCTTTCCTTTGAGACAGGGTCTCTCTTTGAATTCCTGGCTGTCTGTCCTGGAGCTTGCTATGTAGACCACAAAGTCACAGAGATCCTCCTGCATTTGCCTCTCCAGTGCTGGGATTAAGAGTTCATGGCACCACACCTGGCTCGAGGAAGCTGATTTTCAAAAAGTGATAATTTGCTTGCCTAGTATTATACAACTGATAGTCTGTCTATTTATAGTATTTTTTAAGGGAAAAGACAGCTAAGTGTCATAATAAAAGTACCAAAATCAGGGCCAGCAAAATGTCTCATCAAGTAAAGGTGCTTGCCACCAAGCCTGATAGTCCGTGTTCAATCCCCAGGATACATATGGTGGAAAGAACTTACTTATCCACATACATATACACACACGAGCACAAAATAAATAAATGTCTGGTCACGGTGGTGCAATGACTATAATCATAGCACTCTGGAAGCAGAGGCAGACTGATCTCTGAGTTTGAGTCCCATAGAGAGTTTGGGGACAGCCAGGGCTACATAGAAAGACTCTGTCTCACACACACAAAAAAATAAAAAAACAAAAAACACCCAAACAAACAAAAAGTAAATAAATTAGACAAAATGACAAAATCCACTATGGAGATCAAGCCTGCAATCCCAGTGCTTGGGAAGCCAAGAAAGGCTGTTTAGGATACATAGTGGAACGGTTTCAAGGAAAGTAACAAAGACAAGTGGGTAAAAATAAATTAGCAAGTGAAATGGTGATAATGGTCCATAAGTCTGAACCCTTAGCAGTAGGGCCTCTAGAGGAGGAGAATTGCAAAGACCAGCCTTAAAATATAATCTGATTGGGTAGAGGCAAATGTACTGGATGTGCTGATTTTAGATTTAACTCTGAAGGCCTTTAGAACCAGAAATAGCAGCTGAATGTAGTGGTACACTCCTGTAATCCCAACACTTGAGGCTGGAGGTGAAAGATCAGGATACCAGATCATCATCAGCTACTCGGTAAATTTGAGACTTTGAAAAAAAATTGGAGCAATTTCTGGTTCACAGCAAGGTAGAGTTAGTTCCTTCTGCTTAATATTGCAGTGAACCTGAAACTGCTCCAATTCACTCCCTCTGCCTCTCCTCATCTCACCCTAGAGTGGTACATTTTGTCACAATTGGTGAATTTATATTCTACATTGGTACATCATTATCACCCCAAGTACAGAGGGCTTTTTTAAAAAGGGGGGGAAAGAATAGAAAAATGCAGACAGGCATGGTGGCACAGGCCTTTAGACCCCACATTCCAGAGGCAGAGGAAGATCTCTGAGTTGGAGGCCACCTGAGTTCCAGCACAGAGCAACCCTGTCTCAAGACCATGAAGTGAGAATGAGAATGAACTTAGAGTCCCCTATTCCCACCAGCGCTGTTTCCCATTGATTCCCCTGGCAATTCAGATTTGGTGGTATCAGTATTCTAGATTTTGGCCATTCTAAGAGGAGATCCTTCTCTAAATTAGGCAGTGGCTAAATTAGTCAAAGAATAAGCACTCGTGTATCCAGTGTGGCTAATATAGATTAATAGAATCCGAATCCTAAAGGCTATGGATAGCGTTTGAAGATTTTTGAGGTGAATAACCCCCTCTGTAGTGGGCCAAATGTGGCCTCCAAAAAGATATGTGCACTCAGAATTTGTGGTTTTCTTTGGCAAAAAGGGTTTTAGAATGTATGATTAAGGTAAGGATCACAAATCGAGCATGTTGGCACTTCCTTGTAATCCCAGTACTTTAGGAGGTGGAGACATAGGGATCAGAAGTTCCAGGACAGCCTCATTGCAAACCAAGTTTGGGGCCAGCCTGAGTTCATGAGACCCTGTTTCAACATCACCACTACCACCTTTCCCAGAAAAAGGGGAAGTAATAAATTGACCAAGATGGAAAGAGGATAGTT